CTTATAACAGTAGAAAGTAATTAGCAATTTTAGTATCTTATACGCTACAACATTTGATTAGTTTTTTATTATTAAGGATGGTATATATATATATATATATATACTCTCTAGGGAGATATATTATTTACTACAGAGATCAGGGTTAGGTGGTTTATTTTTAAGTTGTAGATGTGGTGAATAAAACAAACCACTTATTTCATCTAAAGTAATTTTCATTTTATATTACATCTTAAGGTTTCCTCACTTTTTCTTTTGGCCTCAACAACGTAAGATGCCTCCTTGATAGCCATGTTTCTGACCATTTTGGGATCAATCATCTCTGGTAGCATAAAAACGATACAACTTGGGAAACATTTTTGATTTCCAAAAATTATTTTTTTTTCTTTATTCTCTGAATGTCAACAGAACAAAGTCACAAAAATCTCTAACTGTAATTTGCTGCTGCCTATCAATTTGATGGACATAACTACGATTTTATTTCAGTATCATTTTCCACAGTAGAGAAGAAATTTTATCTTTTTAGAAGCTTCAATTACTGAAATATACTTGGCAGTTTTTGGACACTTTACTTCTAATATTCCATTACCTCCGATCAGTCCATCTGGCGATGCCCCAAAGAATTCGTTTTGAACATCTACAAATACAGTTATACCTGTAGCAGTGGTATACGCAAGAATTGCATTTTGTTCATTTTGTCTTCCATTTTCAACAGCTGGTGTATTTAGGTCAAAGTTGTACAAAATACGTTTTACGAGACAAACACATGATTTTCTCTCTCTCATCTTGCATACGTCGCCAAAGTGTGAAGCTTTCAATCATTTACTTCTCTCCTCTTTCTATTTTGGGTTTCTGTTCGGTCTCCTTGTTTCGCTCTCAGTGTTATCCCTAATATCCTTTGATACCTGCAATTCCATTAGAAATTCAGTTTTTTTTCTTCCATATTCATTTTCTGTTAAATCAGGTTGCTGACTATTTGGTCCATAGTCAAAGTTGTTTGCTTATAGCTTCACGACGTTTTTCTCTCCTTGACCTTTTGCCTCGAGCATCATGACCGACATCGATGTATCTCGTTTTCGTTGCGTATTTTTTGAATATAGCAGATAGACTTTTACTGAAAGAAGATTTCCAGACTAAAGTGTGTCATATGGGTCCAAGTTCGTATGATAAACCAGCACCTTGACAACGCCAATGACATGCACCTCTGCGATACCTACCGATTTGTTTTCTGCCGATGAATTCCGTAACAATGTGTACATATGATTCGGCAAGGTTGCTAGTGTCATTTGAAATTAGTCCGTCGGACTTTAGTACAAGCATGTCTATAGCAGTTATAATTATTATGAGTAGGGAATGAGGCATTGTTTGTTTCGTTGTTGTTGCTGACAGATGAACAAAAATAAGGCTTGCATTTTTCGTGGCTTCCAAAAACATATGGACCATTCTTTAGATCATCTATGAGATTTTTTACACAACTGGAATTTTTATTGTATCAAATTCTGCCTCTTACACTTTTTTCGAGGCGATGTATTCTTGACTTTGTTAGGTAATTTGCATTTTCTGTGCTTTTGCTAGCAATGTTTTGCAATACCTTAGTGTAGATTCTGACCATATGGTTGGCACATTCGATTGATCAGCCATAAGGTACTTTTCCAAAACTTTTATAAACACTCGAATCACCATCGCCAATTAGTACCTTATACCTTACAGGTTCCGTAGCAGGAGATGATTCGTTACAGTTTCGGTAGCATTTGTGCTCAGTTTCTGTTTCCCTTTTCTTATCTGTGGCACACATGCAACGGTATTTGTTTCGAACGCTCAAAAAACAGTATCTTTCTTGTACCATGACTAATTATTACTGCGACTCCAGTATTAGAAGTATAACGATGACCGTAGGTTCTTGATCAGCATCAGTAATAACATTTATCCATGGATCTCCATCCGGATCCACATTCCCTGTCTCTTAAGCTAATCGAAATTCTTCTTTTCCAGCTTCTTCCATTTGTGTCTCTTTACATTCTTCCCATGTCTGAAAAAATCGATTTCAAAGTTGTAACAAGATTTCAGCAAATATATATATATAGTTTTATGATAGTTTATGTTCATTGTTTATAGGCATTTTACTGTATTTGTATTACGAGTACAAAAGGTACCTTTTCTTTTTTACTTTTATTTCATAATGATCATTAGCATTTTCTTTAAAATAAAAAACGACATGTAATAGGGAAAGTTATCGTTTCTTATAAATAAAAACCGACATATAATAGGGAAAGTTATCGTTTCTTATAAATAAAAACCGACATATAATAGGGAAAGTTATCGTTTCTTATAAATAAAAACGTGTATGAAACGGTTATACATTTGCAACATTCAAGTAAAACTGCCCACTATAGTCATAGTTTATAATGTATAAATACTAAATAAGCATTTCACTGTTCTGAAACTTGTCTAGTTTACATACAAAAGCCTACAAAATTAATACTGATAACTTTCATTTATAGATACTAACGCCAAGTACTGTTTAAATTTAAAACAACATCTTTATATTATGTCAAAAACAAGAAACTGGTATTGTGGAAATTGTTGAAATAAATAAATCACAAAACTATACACACGTACTTGTCACACTCTTTCTTCGTATTTTTGGAATGTTTGTGCACTAATAGACGGTATTCCTAAAACTAAAAGGATCTCGTCTTGTTGTGCAGGGCCACTTCCTGTTCCATGAATCCCCAAACTGACGAAAATTTTATGTTGCCTTCACCTTGTGTACGAGCTGGATCTGATTGAACAACGACTTTTGTTTCACATTTTCTGCAGCGAAAGTGGAAATTACTTTCGAGCCCGAAACGCTGTTCATTTATGAACAAAGTACGTCCCCCTCGAATACATTGAAGTGTATGAGCAGAAAGTCGATGAATTTCCATTAGTCTCATGTCAACTTTTCTTCTTCCTGTTAGATTTTCTAGCCTCTCGTCATGAACACCAACTGAAGGAAGTTGTTCAATGTCACTTGTGCTATATAAATTAATGATAAAACTATTTTAATAACGAGTATAAAGTGTTACATTACAAAGGTAAAAACAAACTGTTCTTTACATACTTCTGAAAACAAGGGAATGAATGAGCACTTCTTCATAAATACGTAACTCGAATTCTCTTTTCTTACGAATACTTTAGCTATTACGGTTGAAAATATCATACATAACTGATGATTCACTGCATTATTTTCTGATGTGTTTATGTCTACCTTTCATTTATACTCGATTAGCTTACTTTAGGTCAGAGGATAAACGATATATTGTTGCGATATTTGAATAATTTATTGTTAAACCACTACATCACGTTATGAAGTCTAGTCGTATTTATTCGATTTGCTTTTTTTCCAGGATTACTGGTGAAGATGAAACTCCCCGAAACCGGCATAATACAGTGAAAAAAAAAGAAAATCGAATTATAGATTAGGCTTCACATTAATTTTCTGATAATTTTTTAAGTTATTTGGATGCTTACCACTGTGCATTGTTGTCATTTTTCACTGGAGTCATCATCAGGCTGCTACTAAAGGTGGTATAAGAGCAAATAGGAATAGATGAGGTTAGTTGAGCCGTTTTCCGAAAATTCCATCCACGTCAATTTCTTTGTTTTAATTTTACTTGGATTTTTTTTCTTTTGGGCCACGTTTCACCTATTACGCAGAGTCTGAGTACACAGTTAAAAAGTGTTAAATTTATTGGTATAAGAAATGCGTAGAATATCAAGACCAAATTTGGTGTAAACAGAATGAAAGTGATGGCAAAATCAGTGACAGCTATTTATATTGGGTTGTCTGTGTTACTAAGTGACTTTCACACTTCACTGTGATATTTGTCAATCACCAGTCCAAATTATTAATAATAATTATTATTATTAATACAGCTGCTCAATGGGCTATCTGTGCTGTGCTAAAAGCGGGTATCTAAATCCGATTTTTAGTGTGATAACTACTTAGACTTACCACTGAACCACCGGGGGCTGCATCAAAGAACTTTTTTGGAATTTATTCTCATTCTAAGGAATCATCTTCGTTACAAATTTCACTAGTACTGATGTAACGCAGTTGTAATTCTTTCTTTGTTTTTTTGAATGAAATTGTTAGACTAGTAGTCACTATTACACAATTTGTATTAGGATAATATTTATGAAAATCCAAGATTTTAATTCTGAAAATAGATAAGATCGTACATTTCAAGTTCATTATGTTTACATTTACTATACAAGTTTTAAATTTCTTACATATACATACAAAATAGATAAATTTTATTTCAAAAGACAGTACAATGCATTTCAAGACACAAAGTTGTAAATTGGAAATAATGTTCAACTTTACTTACGAGTGGGAACCCTACGCGGCGAAAAGTAAATCGATTGGTTGTGTCTACGAATTACACATTCACAACTAGGGCCCTCTCTTTGAAAACACCAGTACTTTAAAACAATAGAATTATGTAAATCTGATCTTTTTTTGACAAAAATACGTGTTTAAAAATCCCAATTTAATTTTTTTTAAATTATGAAACACTTAAAATAGACCGAATTGCTTTAAAAACATATTTCTTCATTTATTTCATTAATGACGTTTTAAATTCAATGTTTTCGTATTTTTATTACAAATGTTTTAGACAGTGTCAACAAATATTTTACTGATTATAATATAGAAGTACCCGACAGAATGACGTAGCAATAATTGCAAAGTTAACAATCAGTTCACTATTTAGAAAAATTGGAATTACACAATAAAAGTAAAAATGAGAGAAGAATTGCTTCTTGTCTCGTTTGTAGCTTATACTGTAAAAGTCATTTTAGATTTCTATGTTGAATAACAGCGATGCAATGTTGGAAATACTTTTCTCAAGTACAGTGCTGGAAACGTTCAATTATAACTAAAGAAATATAACCAGGCAGTTTAACGTCTTGTAGCCCAACTCAAACCGTTGTCATGTTTGTTTGTTTTTCACTTCAGTGAGTAGTGTTACCCCGCAAAATGCCAACTGTGCAAGAAAAGGCTCAATGAGATGGACTGATTGGGGTGAGCCAATTCTGTAGCCTCCACGTTTGCCAGACATCACTCCACTAGACTTCTTTCTTTGGAGGTATGCTGAGGGCATCGTGAATTGCACACCAATAGCAAACATCACAGAGCTAAAGACCAGAATAACGGATGCCATCACTACTATAACTGTAGAAAAGTTGCAGCGAATGTGGAATAAAACTGAATATCATTAGACCTGTTGAGAGCCACTAATGGTGCACACAAAGAAGACTACTGACATGTCAATAAAAACTGTTTGAGTTGGGCTACAAGATGTTGAAAACTGAATGGTTGTATTTATTTCGTTATCTAGTTGTTAAAAACAGGAAAAATAATTTTGGGCCATCCTTTTACATTAAAAAAAGCTTACATAAAAATATTATCTAACATATTAAATAAAACTAATTTTTTATCACTTGTCTGGCTATGATAATAAATACTACTGCATATTTAAATGACATACAAGTTAGTAATAAAACATTACCATATATTACAAGTACTTACCCAGATGGAAGCTGGAACGAAAATGGGAACTCATGATGACCTTCTGCTAGGACTTCCCGTCCTTCTCCAGACTCTGGTTTATGACAATGAAATATTAAATTTACGCTATTTTTACGTTGTTAGAGAATTATAATTTTTAACGTATGAATATTAAATTCAAAATGGTTAATTCAACCCCTAAAAGAATGAAAATAATGCTATAAAGTTTACATTTCCAAAAGCAAAAATAAATCATGATAAGCTACAAATATTTAAGTTTCTATAAATAACTATATTACTTCAATAATTTGTTTACTTACAAATTCTCATTTAACTTTTATCCACTAGAAAATGTATGTAACAAAGATTATTCTTACACAATGTGATAGTATGCACTAAAATATTACACCAGTTGTTCCGATCTTATTCCTATCGAACAAATAATGTTAAGACTAATTACATTAAAATTTCGTCTCTAAACGTAAGTAGGAATAATTAATACTTTATTCATGAATAAATAATGAACACGATACAGTGACCAAATAAGCCTGTCAACACATTAAAGGCAACCAGGAGATCAATCCAGCATTGAATTTAGTAAGCACGATTTTTTCTTCTGTAACTAGGTTCCTAGAAGTCGATCTTCTGGTACAAGATGGAATAACCAGGAATAATTCACGACGTTCGTTTCCCTACAAAAAATCATTTACTTGAGATGAACTGGATCGTTGCCATACATAGTTTTCACCACTAACAGCATCTGCTGTCACGTGACCCTGTCTGGAATGACCCTGACGCTTAACAGTGGAACTTCAAGTTCCTCAAACAACTCACATTGCTTTCAACAAACAACTTATTGCCAAACATTCTTCATCCTACAAAAAACACAACTATGTTAACATACCTTACTATTTCTTCCATCACATTCTATAATGTTCAATAATGTAAATAAATGTTCATTGTAAATTTGTACTTATGTAATACAAGTAGTATACAATACCAAAATCTAGTTCCCCAAAACTTTATACATGAATTTATATATGACATCAAAGTATTTTGAACAACTATTATGTTACCTGAAGATTATCGAAACAGAAACAAGTCACCCATAGGGGATTCGGTAATAATTTTCTCCTAAGAATCAGTGTCACAAGGAGAAGAGAAAACTAAAAAACAAACAAACAAAAACACGAAGTTTGTTTTTAAAACAATTAAAATGCTTTCCTACAAATAATCATAAAATGCTCGTTATAAATTCCTTTACACTGCGAATTAATCTCGTGGATAATACACAATATGTGTAAAGACATTCATAAATAATAAACTCATATGCCAGAATATGTTACCCATGAATTCAGAAAGTTAACCATTGTCCAACGAGTTGGGACATCTAACCTATACACAAGCCAGTGTGTGCCACATCACGCTTGATTTCTAGAAATAGGAGGAGTCATAAAAGCCAAAATGCAAATATCCAGTTAGAACAGTGCGTTTACAGTCTGCCCATTATGTTTTTAGTGACGGGGGTTGCAAGGAGGCCGTCTAACCATATAAATGTAGTGAGTGCTGGTGTAGTAGTTTCGTATGGTGTTTCTCACACCTCCAAAAGATTTGGAGGTGAGTATCCGAGAGTAGGACTGGCGTCCTAGTCTAGACACCGGGTGAGCATGTTTCGGTGTGACGGGGATTCGAATCCGCGACCCGCAGATTGCGAATCAGGTGCCCTAACCACCTGGCCATGCCGGGCCAGTGTTGGTATAATAAGCCTAAAGTAAAGACGTAGTGTTGGATCACCTAGCCTAGAACCAAGCGCATAAAATTTACCATGAAAGTAAAAATATCGATTGAATTTTAAACTCAAAAATCGTTTCTGAATTAAGCTATCTTACCAACGTTTTTAATAATGATAATAACATATTTGATCAACGGATAATCTAAATTAAAAAATCAACAAATATTTTTCCACTTGTTGTTTATACATTTCATTTTATACTTTCGGTTTTGATAAAAAGTTCAGAAAAAAACGACCTTTATACTCCAGATATATACAAAATTATTTATTTTTAAACAACGTTTTGCTTTTGCGGCTTTATCAGGGTTTAATATACAAAACTGTTTGATATTATAAGTTAAATTATAAAACTGCTTGTAATGTTCCATTTCTCGAGTCTGCCGTAACTTGCGTCTAACAATGTATAGATTATTATTGTTTCATTACTGTTCTAATATTACAGTATAGTTATAATACTAACTATACAGCTATATTAACATATTCGATGACGAGGAACCCACTTTGAGACGGCTTGAATGGGTAATGAAGAAAAACTTTAATATAAGTTTAACACAACAGCAAATGTACAACGTTTCGACAAGGTTTTTGTCATATATGAGATATAAAAATAAAGAAAATTACAATATGTTTTATGATTAGCTTTAAAAAAAAACATGGAAAATAGAAGCTGCTAAGAAACAATAAGTGGAAAGGATACAAAGTTTACAAGCAGTGTTAAAAACGAACCTCCAGTACGCAAGTGTTAAGCTGAAAGTAATAGTATCAAGTGTACTGATATGATGTGTGATTTTTCGAATGGAATCATGGCGGTATAGTTACATGTACCACTCATTGTCTCTGTTCGTTTTTGGATTTTTTTCGTTAATGAGTGTAGCTTCCATATATTTTCTCTCTTTAAAATCTTTGGTGTTTTGTACGATAGAAACATTAAATGGGTTTTGGTTTTCTGTGTTTGGGGTTTCGTGCTGGTCATACGTATATAACGGAGTGATGTGTTCCGAGATGCGTGTATGTAAAAGTCCTCCGGTTTATCCTTTATATGCGTCTCCACATGTATTACAAATGATTTGGTAGACCACGTTTTTTGATGTGGCATATTCGTCCTGCTCCGTTTTCTCTAGCCTAACATTGTTTTTGACACTTGTTGTTTGTGAGAATGAAGAGTAAACTAATAGTTCTTTCAGTATTTTACCTGTTTTTATGTTATATTGATTGTCAGTTGGGACTGTTTAATGGCTTTAAGAATCTTGTTTGTGATTGTGTTGTTTATGAAAGGAATGTTCATTGTGGGCGTTTTCGTGCATGTTTTTTTTTGGGGGGGGTCTTTTGTTGTTGTAATGTTTTTGTTTTTTGTGTTTTGAAAACATTGTCGATGTAATATTCGGTATATCCGTTTCGTAATAGTAGTGTTTTAAAGTTATTTTGTACTGTTTGAATGACATTCGACGTGGAGCAGTTTCGATTTATTCTCTTTAATTCTCCTATTATGGTTCACCTTTTGACTTGTTCTGGGTGGTATGATTTGTAATGGAAAAATATCGGTTTCTTGCATTCTTTGTTATGCATGGAGTTCTGTATTTGTCTGTCTTGGATTTTTAGGGTAACGCTAAGAACGTTAAATTTCCTTCTGCGTTGGGTAGTTTTAGTGTGAACTTAACTGCTTGGTGGAAGTTGTTTCGGAATTAGTAAACTGCTGTAGTGATTTTTTTCCATGATTCCAAATACCAAACATGTCATCGGTATATCTGTACCACACTTCTGGTATTGTCTTTTTTTTTCTTTTAGTTTATATATGTCAAGGGCTTTGATTTCTAGTGTGTGCATGAATATTATAGCAAATGTGACTGCTGCTCTGTTACCCATTGCTATTCCTTTCTTTTTTTGCACAAATTGTCACCATATTTTAAATAATTGTTGTATATAACAAAATTGAGCATTGTGCGGATGGTGTCTAATGTGATGTTCACTGAAAAATGTGTTGAAGATGTGAAGATAATGCCTTCTTCTATGGGTATGGATGAGTACAATGCGATTACGTCTAAGTAAAATATAATGGAGTCAGCGCATATTGTTTGTGTAGAAGAGTGTATCTTTTCTAATAGGTCTTTAGTATTGGTTAAGTGTGACGGAACATACTTTAGACATGGTTAAAACAGTTGATCAAGTAACCAGTGTACGGTTTCTGTTGCAGAATCATACGCTGACATTATGGGTCTTAAAGATAAGTTGTATTTATGGTTTTTAGGGACTCCATAATGTTCAGGTATACGGCTATGGGAGGGTTTTACTTCCGTAGACAGACTAACAACAAAATTAGGTTATATTTTTGTTGCTAAGTAACATAACATAAAAGCCATTGTTGGAACGCAACGTTCACAAAATGCACTGGCTTTTCTATATATTAGAAGTTGTTAATCTGATTTTTACGAATAATTGATTACTAACAGAGACCCGTAAAACATTTTCGACCAAATTAGTATCTTTATCGTAACAGTACTTCTTTAAATATAACATTTCTAACACAATACAAACGAATTGTAATCGTAGACAATGTGTGAATCCACTTGTATATAGGCCGTACTTCATAAAACTTTAACTTATGTTAGGCCTAAGTTCGATAAAGAGATAAATTAACACTGTAACCTGTGTAAGTTTTTTTGTTTTTACTTTAGCTAGGACTAAACTTTACTGCACTTAATACTATCGATAAATAAAATTGTGTTATTCTACAACCTAACGTCAAACCTTTTTTTAAAAAAACTTTGATAAGTTTTTAATATTCCGTTGTACAAAATGGTTAGTAAAGTATATTTACATTCCCCTTTTGTTTCACACAGCAATTGTAGCGACTTGATCACTGAGCTTTGCAGCTCTCTGCCGCAGGCAGACTGTTTGTCATCGAGTGAATAATACCCATGAGCGGTTTTTCTTGGGGGAAACATTCTAACTATCCTTCCTTATACACCAGGTTCTCAGTCAGAAAGCGTAACGGTCGTACATACAAACAAGCAGAATAATAGTATAGATTCTATGAATATGCTACGAATTCATTTCATGAATGATTTTAATTTTGATTGGCTCACAAAGAAACTTACCGACGTTTCACTGTCTCGACTGCATTTTTCTACCTTTTTGTTGGTCAAGTTTGATTTTGCAAAATATATTTATTTCAGTTAGCTATGAAATGTGAGGTTAGGATATACTATGGGGTGGAAGTGGTAGTACTTGCCCCGTCATTTTTGACGGGCTATATACTACTCTACTAAGAAAGTTGCAAGCAAACGATAGCAAGTTAATGGACG